CATCTAGAACGTGCAACATCGTCCAGCTGCAATCCGTTCTTGCTGTAACAAGACAACATATTTGCTTCCATCCCACCACTGTTAGCGTTACTACAAAAACACCAAGTGGTAATGGTCGGCTGAATAAGCAGTCATTCGACGCAGTTAAGGCTGCCATGGATAAAGCATGTCTGTTGTAGGTTGTTATCAGATGAGTCCAAACCCCTGCCTTAACATCCTGGCTCAGCGCTGTACGGTTCCTGAAGATGAATCAGCCGTCCAAGATCCTTGTCTCTTTTGCCACCAAAGGCTTAGAGCCGGCAAAGCAAAACTACGCACAAGTGGATAAAGTGGCTTTGGCACTTGTATTCCGTGTTAAGAATTTTCACTACTACCGTTGGAAACGGTTTCAAAATCTTTTTCGAAAATAAGCCCCTTTTAGCCTTGCCTGGTGAACATAAAGGCTGCTTCCAGAAGGTCATCTCCGTTATGCACCTTTGGGCCTTATTGTTCTCGGCTTACAATTACACTATCCTTTATGTCCCTGAAAATCAACCCGGCAGTGTGCATACCTTGAGCCGGTTGCAAAGGAAACACCTGACCGATAATGACTTGCAACCGACTGAATTATTTCTGTTAATACAACGCTTGACCGGGAAGTCGGTACTGTGCGCTGCTAGCCGCCGTGAGAGCGTTTGTAATATAGTCCTCAGCAAACTTAAAACTTTGGTCTTCCAAGGATGGTCTGATAAACGTGAACGGAAACAGTAACTTTCTTCACCCGAAGTAAACAACTAAGCCTCAAGGATAACTTTTCCTGTGGGGTCTAGAGAAATTATACAGTCTGGGTTACGACAGAGGGGCTGGAGGAACTGCAAGAATCTCACCCAGGCATTACTCAAAGGAAAACCCTCGCGCTCCATTATGCTTAGACAATCTAAGTCAACGGTGACCTAAAAGATTGAGCACACACGGTAAAAAAGTCATAGTACAAAAGGAAGCGCACCGCTGGTGCCACCTTGTCGAGGGAACTGGCCAGACAAGCATAAGTGCGCGCATACTACATAAATGAGTAATTGGCTAGCGGAACAGGCCGGCTGGATGAAAACCTTACTGGTGGTAGCAGCTGGATGGTTCCGGTGTAACCCGTTCCAACAAGTACTTAGGCGGCAGTGTTCCAGTACTTAGTGGGTTTTCGCCTGACAAGTGTTCTCCCTAAAATACCCACAAATGTACTGTATCAACGCTGTGACGGATGTGACGCGTTACAAACTGAAGTCACTGCTCCTTGGAAATCTGGATAATTTTATTAAGCTGCGGACAGCAATAGTTTGCTCTTACCTAGATTGCCGGCAGAGTTCCAGGACGTTGTGGGCTTTCTCTTGACCAGCATTTTTCCTATAAAAGCCACTACGGTCCGGGTAACAACGTTGCAACGTGGCGGATGTGACTCACTATTAAATAACGTCACTGCATCTTCCCCTTTGGGAGGACAGCCATCTCACCAACGCTCTCCAGTTCGAAGAGTTCTATGGATCCCATCATACGTTGGCGAGCACAGCAAACCCATGAACTCAGTCACACTGCGTATGTTCACTCACAGTGCCCACTAACAGATACACGTATATATTTACGGACACACAAATATAGTATGTTACTTGTTACCATGCCATAGTTTATACAATTACTAGAGATATTAAAGTCACAGCCTAGAAATTACCACACTACGCTACGTTCACAAAAGCGCAACCAATTGACACTTCATTTCTGAAGTTTTCCTCACATGCACTTCCCAATTTATACATGCAACACATTTTCTGTGAAACGTTGATTATGCCGTCAAGGCGTACGTCGATACTATCGGTATTAAACTATTTATTTATTTATTTAGCTACTATTGTCAAACAGTCACAACTACAACACACGCTACAAAGCCCCATGCACAGGTACACACACGTCCATGCTCGTACTCACTAGTATAACCAAAGTGCTGTATTCCTGCATACTTTTGTTCACACTTTGTTATCAAAATGTGGATATGCCCATAAAGACAAGCCCGAGTTGCCGCGAATAAAAGGCTTATTTGTTTAAATAAATAAATTGTGCATTCTCTGCGACGCAAGGCAAGTCTGCACAGGTATGATCGTGGTCGGGTTGTGATCGATGCAATTCCAAATGGGTTGCGGTAGTTCCACTGATAGCCGTAAATTTGGGGGCAAAAGCTTTAAGCATGAGAATAAGTTTTAGCGCAGTCTGTATTACACAAACTCTAGTGCCAGAGAAGTGTGCTTTATTCCTTAGTCAAAAATTTTTACAAATTCGTCAAAATACTAACATCGGACAAGAGAAAATGGTCCTATGGTACCCAGTTTCAAATGAACTACCGAAAAGGCTTTCCAGCCAGTAAAAACGGGTTGCAGGTAAAGGCTCCGGCACAAATCAGAACACATTTGGACAAATTTCTACTCTCTGACCGCTCTAACCCGAGTGCAACGACAGGCAGGAGTCCAGGTGAACTGATGTTTTGCGGAAAGCACAGGACGCGCCGAGCTACCGCTCGAGCAATGTAAAGAGTTTAGACCGGAAGATTCCACTTCGACAACTACGTGAGGACGAGCCACTTTACGTCGAAATACCCACGAACGGGCTTGGAAGCCTGCAACGTTAGTCGAAATTGAACGCCAGGACGCAAGAGCTCTTGCGTCAAGAGGGAGATTTCTGTATACTATTGTCCTACGAATAACGGTTTGTATTCAAACCATCCGCAACCATGAACTCCAAACCGGTATCAAGCATATTCCGAGATATGGCATGCTCATAACTTCGCTTGTGATTGCCATGCGAAAGTTCTCTGCTTTTTGCTTGTTACTATGCTCAGTTGAACACAACTTTGCTGGCAACAGCTTTGGAACACCTCAATACGCAACTGCTGTATACGTTCACCGTACTATTGAGGTAGAGCCATGATGCATTCTTGCTCTCGACAGCTCCAGCGAACCGTCAACACCACGACCGCTCCTGTACATAATACAAAGCGTTTGACAAAAACCATATATGTTGACACTAGTTCAAGCTTCTATCGAGGTGTACTTGTGGCTCCTTGCATTGCTGGAATATAAAGACGCATATATGGAGTAACCTTCAACTCGATTTCTGTCAATTTCTTCCTTACCGAATAGCTCCATATCATGAGGAGCCTTAATGGTGGTCAGTAAATTTTCCGATGCAAAAACCAGGCTAATTACGCATGGGTGGACTGGCAATGTTCATAGTTCAGCTTCCACGGAAAGCGCTGAAGTTGACATATGTAGATCGCGTTTCTAAGACAACGGGGTGTTTAAAGAGATGTACTCGCGTGTCGTAGCCGTGCCAACCTGTGTGAAAAATGCTGCTTCTAGCAAATAATGCATGGAAGGTAACGAACTCGGAACAGGGTGTAAACGTCTGTCATGTTTTGTGAAACAAAATATTAGCTCAATAGATTTAAATGATGGGAAATAGTACGAAATATTGCCTTGCGCATAAACACAAGTATATGACGCCATACCCTAGTTAATTATTTGCCATTCAGCCATAAGAGGTATTTCGTAATGGTTGGACATTTAGAGGCGCCGTCCGTTATTCTTAGCTTAAACACAGCCATCTACACATATATCTTACGCGTTAGCAAACGTGCACTTATAACAAGTCCGTTTACATCATGCTTCATTAATTGCAAGGAGCCCATATGTGCTTCCACACTCCAACTTGCGGTCACGCATTTACATCGTTACAAAACAAGACCAAGGTAACAGTTTCGTCGAATAGCATAAACTCCTTGTATCTGGAAAGGTTCGGTGGATTACACACATGTATGTTGTGAGTTAGTTTAGTTTTGAATCATGAGTAGGTTAATTTTCCAACTAAAGACCTAATTTGAATGATTCCGCTAATTCATCGTCGTCACTTTCATGCTGAGTCTAATCTGGAAAAGCACCAGCCGCCGTCGTTTCAACATACGTATCGTCAGTGGCGCGCTTCCCAGCGGTCTCCTGCCTAGTTCCGCCACCATGGCGTCTGGATACCAGCATCTAGTGCCACTTCGCCGCAGGTGACAGCTGCGGAACTGCGTTATTGAATGTTCATTATGATATAGCCCGGCTCAGCTTCCACTGCCATGCCAGGTATGAAATTTGTAGGGGACAGTGGCTGGCCTCACGAGCTAGGACTTTTCGCATAGCGCCTATGTATGACATAGAAGGAGGAGCCAGGCTATGACATAGTAAAATGTCAACCAAACGGGTCCGCGACTGTGACTCATGGCGAAGTGGCACTAACTGATGGCATCCTGAAGTCATGGGGGCGGAACCAGGCGCGGGTGCGTTGCGAGTCGCACCACTGCGGAGAACCAGAAGGTCGAAACACTGCTTCTGGTGCTTTACAAGACTAGCCTAACCCTACTGACTGGGAGTGAGGATGTTGAATTAACTGCAGTAGACCAAAAGCCTCAATACTAGTAGTAATTTGAATGGCCCGCTAGTCGAGCGGGTATTAACGGGTTTAACGGTTTGCTATAGTTTTTCTACCAATTTTGCCTGCTGTGATTAGCCGTATGTTATTAACTAATACGCATTTCACAGCTGTCGAGATATTACCCTAAATTTTTGTGACTGGTTGCCGAACTGAACAATGTATTTTAATTGTTGGACGCTATCCATACTGCCGAGATAACTCTCTTGGAGTAAGATACCTGTTATTGGGCTACGGAACTGTATCAATCTTCAGTGCAAGTTTGCATAAGTGCTGGCCATATCCTTTCCTGGTATTTGAATCATAACAAAATTTAGTAGTATTGATACTACATACTGAAAATGCAAGGATTGCTCTTGTTCTTGCTTCATTACCTTTGTCAGAAGCAAGGAGAGGCGATCGAAAGTCGAAGGGCCGTTGCTCTAGTTCGCTTACAGGTACAAGAATCTGGACGCTCGTTAGGCGAAAGCCTGTGTCGTCCTTGAATCTAGACCTGAACTGACCTTCAGTCTAATTTCACGGGTTCCGATGGGTCCCGTACCGTGTTATCCTGCTCTCTTCGTAAGTTTGTTCCCGGTAGTCAACATTGCCTGCTACTCCAAAGTGTGCATACAGAATTTTTCTTTTCCAGCTCGCTCTATGCATTTACCGTTCAAGTGTCGTCGCTTACCAATCTAATTCTAAAGGTATGGATACTTTCGTCTTCGCGCGTAATCACATGTTCATGATTTGTTGCTGTCCACGTTTCATGTAAGACCTTTGGTAAGCCGGAATACTTTAGTTCTGTGTTTGCGGTTGTTTTATGTTTGCGCACGAACGGTTATGTAACATTGCTAATGGTCTTTACAAATATCTTCAGTGCACTACATCTAAAAAAGTCAACTTGCACTGCGATCCGTGTCTAACGTTGGTCAGCGACGAGCAACTTCTGATGAACCTTTTAAACATACGTACTGCTTCTGTGCAAGTCGTCTCTAACTCGGACAGCGAGACCTATCTCATCAGTGTCTACCCGGGTCTGGTTATACTACACCGAAAGGGAAAAGAATCCTGGCGTCCTCCACCACGTTGAACTTAACACCGTTGCCTAGTAAGAACGGGAATGGGCTGATGGATAAGCCCAAGTCCTATGCCGCCGTCGCGAGCGCCAGCACCTCAGCAAAAGCGAGGATAACCATAGCTAAGAACAAAGACTAGAATATGTCTTCACGGCCTAAGATGAAATCAAACACCAAAAACGTGGAACTAAAGCTCTTCCTAAATAAATTAGCGCAGCTTGAGCAACTGGTCAACGAAAAGAAATGCCTACAAAAGCCAATGTCACCGGAACGAAACAAGCCGCCTGCTCGCAACCGCTGCCTGCTAATTACGAACGTCCCAGAATCCAACGACGGCTCCAACTGAAAGTATACTTAACTAATAAGCCTTCTTTAAACGAATGGTCCCGATTTTTCGATGAGGATGAGCAAGAGGCAAACCAAATCTCTGCTTTTCGCCTTGGCAGAAAACAAGAGGACTTCGCCTAATTTCCTCGGAAAATCGGGATGCAGAAGAATGCCAACGCATAATAGGACGGACCCCGCGCCTTAAGGGAGTAACCTTCTACGTTCCGAGGGACTCCGGAGGAACGAGTCCGAATGAGGCAAGCTGTCTGCGATCTGCGAACCCTTAGGAGCAGATAGAGAAACAAATCTACATATTGTGGATTTTTACGTACTCAGAAATACTCAGAGAGCATGATGGAACTCAATCTTCCTTCTTCCCGGACTTAAAACATAAAGTACGGATTACGGGTAATACTCGTGAACGTGCGCAGTCTCAGAAACAAGCTAGATGAGATTCCACTCATTATCTCTGAACAGCAACCAGACCTAATGGTGTTCACAGGAACCTGGCTGTCATCTGATATATCTGACTCGGAAGTTGATGTTTCAGGATATCAGTTGCTTCGATGCGATCGCTTTGGTGGGAGGTCTGGGAGCAGAGTAACCCTCTACGCAAAAACTGCCTCAAGGCCCACATTTTCGAACCCGATTGTGACAAGAATGATATTTCGGAAATTCTCTGGTGACCAATTAATGATGGATAGCAATCGCTGATCGTCGGAGTGTTCTACAGAGCCCCTGCAGGACGTGGGTCACACCTATTTCGCTCCATGCGAACGCACAGCAGAGGAACAAACTCTCCTTATCGGTGACTTCAACGCCCCGGCGTAATCTTTGACCTTCTTCACAGTGATCTCCCACTTGACTCTTTTGAGGTTGATCTCTTTAATACCGTTCACGAGTGCAACCTGACGCAGCATGTCTTGACACCAACACTGACGGCCCCTGATTGGACACCAAACATTCTAGACCTGCTTCTCACGTTGCCCCCATCTGCTGTTTCAGATCTAACACTCCTCCAACCTCTTGTGAAGAGTGATCATTGTACAGTCTCCTTTTCGTGGACACGACGCCTCACAACCAACGCTTAGGGGACGCTGCGCCGAAATTTGGCGCACTAACCAGCCCAGATTAAGAACGGCTGCAAGTAAAATGGACTGGAGTATTCCGCAATCCTTGGAGGTTGATGACACATGGGAACGCCTACGATCTCTGATGATGCGACTTATTGAACGGTTTGTTCCAAACTGCAAGAACAGACCACCATCAAAAGGACCCCCATGGATTGATAAAAAAAGTAAGATCCCTAATAAAAAATGACGGAGACTATGGGGCCATTTCAAGAGCACAAGACTGACATCAGGCTACTTAGGGTACAAAACTGTCAGAAGCCTATGCACCCTGAGAAAACGAGACAAAAGACTACAATGTGAACATGCACTGGCCATGGAATCCAAAAATTGTCCCAAAAAACTTTTCGCCTAATGGAAGCGAATTGTCAAAACGAGCAGTGGAATCCTCGCTTTATCCTCTTCCAAGGTAAGTGTCGTTCTCTACGGCGATGATGAAAAAGCAAACCTCGCTGCGCACTATTCCTCGGTTTACTCAGTGGAATCTCCGCTGCTCAACAACTTTTTGCCTGTACCCTACTCTTCTATGTACCAAGTTGAAATTAACCCCGAGGTAGTCATTAAGCTACACCTCGAACTGGATACGAACTCCTTCCCAGACCCGGACTGATTGCATCCCAGCTTCCTTAAAACGTTAGCCAAGTACGTCGCCTCCCCTCTCTGCCAAGTATTTCGGCAATCCCTCGAAGTCGGCTGCCTACCCACAGGCTGGAAAGCAGGTACCTTCCCGCCCAAATGCAAGGGGGAAACCAACAAGACCCGGCGAACTACCGACCAATACGCCTGACATCAGTCGTATGCAAAATCATGGAACGAATAGTCAAGTGTGCCCTCCAGCTGCACTATGTGAACCTAAACCTCATCTCACCTGCTCAACCTGGCTTCCGGAGAGCACGCTCATGCATGCCTAATTTACTCATCGCCAGGGAAACGTGGGCAGAAGCCATAGATATCCGAAACCAGGTTGACGTAATACTCATTGACTTCAGTAAAGCCTTTGATAAAGTTCCACACGTACGACTGCTACATAAACTCCAGGGAATTGGTAGTACAGGATATCTCCTGGATTGTCGATTTCTTAAGAGTTGGGACAGTGCGCGTACAAGTGTACCGAACCCTCTCTGCTCCTGTGCCTATGACTATTGGCGTTCTCTAAGGATCAGTGCTTGGACCAGAGCTCTTCAAACCGTACATTAACGATCTACCGACTGCACTTCAAACTGACTGCTTGATCTACGCCGATGACCTCAAGCTATGGTCAACGGTATCCAGCCTTGAGGATGCGGACAGATTACAAGGGGCTCTAGACCAGCTGCACGAATGGTCCATCAAGTGGGAAATTTCGGTAAACCGAGGTAAATGCGCTGTTCTCACTACGGGTAGCAATGAACCTTACGGTGCATAACGCTGATGGCTTTCTGCTCATTAATACCATTCACGAGAGAGACCTCTGAGTTATCGTGACTTCTGACCTTAGAACGACGCAGGACACGTTGAAAAAAGTGTCCAATGGAAGGAGACTGGTGGGTACCTTAAGAAGATCATTCACTCGAATGACTCCTGAGATTTTTCGACCTTCGTTCACTTCGTACGTCCGTCCAGTTTTAAAATTTGGCCTACGAGCTATCCATCCGCTTTCAAAGTTTGCATGCGCTCTGATGCAAAAGATTCAGAGATGTGTATCGAAAGCTGTTTTGGGGCTCCGTGATCTCCCGTACCACCGGCTCTATCAACGAAATCTGTTCTCCATCGAGCTCCGCCGTCGCCGGGGTGATATCATCTACACTGGGCGCATCCTCCGATGGGAGCTTGGAAGTGAGTTACAATTCTTCCGGCCCAACACTGACTGTTGCACACGAGGTCACACATGGAAACTGTTTAAGCAAAGAAGACAGAATTCGCATAGACATCACCCTATCCACTAGAGTGGTAAATGATTGGAACGACCTACCGGAAGAAGTTGCAGACGCGCCATCCAAGGAAAGTTACAAGCGGTTCTCACTGCAATTGCGACGAACCCTCAATGAACGTCGTACTGCAACGACACGCATCAAACCCAGCATGATACGGAATCGTTGGGGCTGACAAAGGATTCCCCTCCTGCTCTCTACAGCTCAATGTTCGCTGAATGCCCTTTGATCGTCATCTTTTTTCTTTTGTATATTCGTCACAGTAGTTGTGGTATTTTCCACCTCTAGCTATCATGTATAATGATGATGATGATGTCCCCTTGAGCGAATCGGTATTGTCTCTTTGGAGAATCATTTCTGAATACTTGGACTTCGTCCAACTGCTTGTCCTGTTGTAAAGGAGTTACTTCGCGATCCAAAGCATTGTAGGGCATCTTCTGTGATGGGTGGACCTACGTAGTTTACTGTGGTGTTTGTCCAGATTTGTACTAGTTTCTTCTGCGAACCACCGCACAGTGACTCGGATTCTTTTGTGCCCTCTGCTGCGTTATGGTAAGCAACAGGCGCCTTATTGGTGGATTGCCTACGCTCGGTCCACTTATCTCTCCCCTTCAAACCGAGACGAATATCGCTACTGTCACGCTATCAACTTCATGCTTCGCATCATATGCTTCTGACTCATTTACTCCCACGAGCACCGTCTACCTCACATTTAGTAACGCTGGCCCTGATTTGTCCTGGCAATTTAGTCCTGCTAGCTTATCTGGTTTCCCCTGGCATTGTATGAAGTTGGAGAAACCGCGGTCCGATCGAATTAGAGCGGGAACATGGTTGTCCTGTCGAGTCATCGAGCGCTGGAACTCGCTTCCAGAAAATCTTGTCAATGTAGCTGCGGTTAAGCGGTTTGAGCATCAACTAGATGGGCTTGGGTGGCAACGCAAAACCTTTCCTTTTTCCTAACCCATCTTCATACTTCGATTCTGTTTTCTGTACTTTCCATCACCATTGGTATTCCCTTCCTTTCAAATGATTTCCCTTACTTTTTACCTTTAATTTTTCTTCCTCTCTTACCTACTTTACGTTACTGGCATAGCAATGACTGCTAATGCAAGCAACGTAAGCATTAAATTGTTGGACCATGGTATATTCCGTGTGTCTTCGTTTTGGATCAGCGATCCACTCAAGGAGGAACACTTACGGGATTCATCCTATCGTTGCAGTCCCACCTAAACTAGAACTGGAACTTGACCACTGTGAAGAA